GGGGAGCGTCAAAAAAATTTGACTTATTCCAGTTCACCGCCGCTTCCGAAAGTTTTGCATATCGCGACAGGCAGCCTTTCAAGGCGTCCAGAGATACCTTCTCATTGGCTGAGATGGCCAGCAGGTCATCCGCCAGCGCCTTAAGTCTACATTCTTTACCTCTGCGCAGTTTCAGACCCACCAGCAAAGGATGAGATCTGATATCGTTAAGCAGCACCTCTAAGTGTACCACGAACAAGAGCGGGGTACAGCGCTTTCACACTGTTGCAGAAGTTGCTGCCAAAGTTCATCCTCTTCAGTGTCGTGAGAACGAAGGCCCAATTCACTCGATCATAGGCTTTCTCCATGTCAAGCATGAGGACCGCCACGTCGACATTCCTGCTCCCAATAATTTCCAAAGACTCGATTGCGGTGGCTAGATTGTCGCAGATGGATCTACCTCTGACAAAGGCGCCTTGGTCCAAACCCACCAGACCTGGAAGGTGTACTGCAAGCCTGTTGGCCATGGTTTTGGCCAGCAGCTTGTACGAAAAGTTGAAGAGCGATATCGGCCGCCAATTCCTGATCTCGCTACGATCGCCCTTCTTGTACAATAGTGTTATGATGCCCCGCATCATTGTGGGGCCCAGTCTTTCTCCCTCCAACACCTCATTGTACAGCGCCACCAACTCCTCTACTAACACCTCCCACACTGCTTTATAGAATTCCATCGCCAACCCATCGTCTCCTGGTGATTTTCCTCTTGCTACTGTGGCCAAGGTGTGTGACAATTCTGCAGCCGAGATGGGTTTGTCCAACTCCTCTCTGGTTTCTTCCTTTCTCTTCTTGTTTTTTCTTCTTTTTTTCTTCTTTCTTTACTCGTGACTTTACGCACTTCGATTTGTCTCATTTTCGAAGGTGAACATTGAGGTACGACCCCCCTGGATAGGACCAAGGCTCTCCTCTAATCGAGGGGAGCTGCCCCCCCGACTCCAAAAGTTGGAATAGGCACGAATGGGCACGAATAGACCTTGGGAACGACGGGTGCTCAGGGCGGGACAAAATAAGACTAGCCATGGACCAATAGTAGCGATCCTTTCTTCTGTTCTTCCTTTTTTCTTTTTTTCTTTTTCCTTTTTTTCTTTTCTTTTTTCATTTTTCTTTTTCTTTTGTCCTTTCTCTCTTTTTCTTTTTTTTGTTTTTCTTCTTTTTTATGACCGTAGGATTGATGCAATAAACGGAGGGATAGGTGAAGAGGCTTTGGTTAGAAGTCCACGATCCCCGATGGAGAATGGACTATATTAGGACTTGGCGCTGGCGGTACTGTTCATCGGTCCACCGTGCAATAACCGGTTCTGACAGGTAGTAAGGCACGGTGCGTTCCGGTTCTGCGGGAACTTGGTGTGACGAACGTACGACATGGACTTCTTCGCCGACAGGGACCAGGTGGAAGAACAGCCGGAGGCGGAAGAAGTGGTAACGATCCGGGCGTGAAGCTCTCTCGTCATTTTTTGCCGCCCTGACCGCACCTCAACTCTGCGCCATGCAAACCGACGCGATATGCCACGTCGGGCCTACCCTGCTCTCCCCAGGCTCGTTCGCACTCACGCTTAGCGTCTCCCTGGGTCTGTTGCTCCTCCTCGCCTTGCTCCCTAACCTCGCCATAGCAAGCCTGCTTTCTGTCGCCTGCCTCTCCGAGAGGGTGTTTTTGTGCACTTCTTCTAGGAGCTTTGCATTGCTAATTGCGTGCACCATCGACTTCATTTCCTTGATTCTAACTTGCTGCTGCTACCTATTATTTACGATTGGTTCCGCTCGCGGACTGCACGTACTGATTGAGTAGCGCGCGGAGTGGACGATGGAATCGAAGACAGCGGCGGGGACATCTCCTCACGCGTTTTTAGCTTTTTTATCCTTCCTATCCTTTCTCTCTTTTCTTTTCTTCATCTACTCCCTCCCCTCCCCCCTTCC